CTTCAGTAGAGCAGTTTCAGTGCTATGGAGAGATTTGAAGCCAGATTGGAATAACTCAAGGATAGCGTGATCCCCCAAAAACTGTTTCAACTGAGACTCCACAATTTTTTCAGTAGTTTAGAGGTGAATGGGAGTCTGGAGACAGGCTGGAAGTTGGACATGACTGAGGGGTCAAGGTTAGGTTTTTTCAGGAGGGGCTGGACAGCAGCATGTTTAAAAGTCTTTGGCACCACACCTGAGGATAAACTGCTATTCAGAATAGCGAGGATAAAAGGACCCAGGGTAGGAAAAACTTCCTTTAGCAGTCGAGGGGGGACCACATCAAAGGGGGAACCAGATGGCTTCATGTTGCACATTACCTGCTCCAGAGAAGACAGAGAGATGGGCTCAAAGTGGTCAAACACAGCCACACACTGAGAAGGGATGGACAGATCATGAGCTGGTGGAGAAATGAGTGCCCGGGTGTTTGACACTTTTTCTAAAAAGTGGCAAACTTTTACGAATATTTACGAACTTATTACGAATATTTTATTCGTAATATTTTATTACGAATAAAATATTGACATTTGCCATCTCCACATCATTGCATTCAGTTTTTATTCACAATTTGTTTAGTGTCCCAACTTTTTTGGAATCCAGTTTGTATGAGAATGTTCCTGTAAAGTTCCCTGAGACAACTTTGTTGTGATTTGGCGCTATATAAATGAATTGAATTGAAGGAACATTTAATCTAGTCATATTAGAGTTACTAAAGGAACATTTAATTCAGTCAGATTACAGTTGCTGACGGAACATTTAATTCATTCATTCAACCTTTATTTACACAGATTAATCCCATTGAGCCTCGGGGACTCATTTACAAGAGAGACCTGAATTTTTTAACAAAGACTGATGACAACAGTGGACAACAACGACAATAATAGACAATCATAAAGGATGCACAAAAATTCATATGCCAGGGAGACAGAAAAGTGGGTGAAGAATTTATCTGACAGACTGCTCACCCAGCCGGAGACAGAGATTATTGCCAGGGGACTGAACTTTGCGGTTGTACCAAGTAGAATTCCTCTGGTGGAGATTATCACATCCACAGAATCAGCCATCTGCAACAACAAAATGAAAGAGGGTGAAGCAGAAAAACTCATAATCAAAGTTTCATCCTGCCTCAGCAATGCCAAACCACCACCTTCCAACATCAGTAGAGAGGAGAGGGACGCACTCACCACTCTTAGCAAGGACAAAAACATCATCATTCTCCCAGCAGCCAAAGGAAGGTGCACAGTGATTTTGAACCAGAAAGACTATCATGAGA